AAAAGAAAGCAGGAGTGATCATGGTTCTATCAGATAAAGTAGACTTTAAATCCAAAGCAAACAAAGAAAGAGAAAGAGAAAAAAAACATGGAAAGTCATATACAATTTAGAGGGGTCGATTCAGCAACAGGAAATAATAATTATCAATATATACACCCAATATTGGAGGACCAAATAAATTAAAGCAAAATTAGTAGGCCTAAAAAGAAAGATAGAATTAAATGCAATAAGGGAATGGACTTTAACATGTCACTTCCAATAATGAACAAATCATTCAGACACAGTACCAACAGATACCAAAATTAATTTGTGGAAAAATAGTATGAATTCTTATAATGTGTGGTCTAACTCAGTAGATGGGAAACTTTTATTGCAGTTTCAATCTTCTCCATAAATTACCAAATCACCAAAGTTAAGTTATACTCTAGACATATTGGGCCTAGCAGATACCTACAGAACATTCCATCCATATCTGCAGAACAAAAAATTGTCTAAATGGCACTTGGACCATTCTCCAGGATGGATCATATGGTAGGCTGGAAACATGTCTCAACAAATATTTTTAAATTGAAATAATATTCTGTTAATATCAATTCCTATCATAATTCAATAAAACTAGAAATCAAAAACAAGAAAACTTTCAAAATCATACAAAAAGATATAAATTGAACAACTTATTCCTGAACAACCAATAGGTTAGAGATTAGAAAATTGAACAATTTCTTGAAACAAATGATAAAACACTACATACCAAAACTTATGGAATATAGAAGAAGCAATAAGAGGGGAATTTAGATCAATAGACCCCTAATGGAGAAAGAACCAGGCACCATGGTGCCTGTCCTCAGTCTCAGCCACTTGAGAGCTGAGCAGGAGGATTATTTGACCACCTGAGTTCAAAAACAGCCTGAGCAACAAAATAGCAAGACCCCATCTCAAAAGCAGGAGGAGGGGTGGAGGGGGTAGAAAAGTCTCAAATAAATAACCTATCATTGCACCTCAGGAACTAGAAAAATGAGAACAAACCAAACATAGTACTAGTAGATGAAAGGAATAATAAAGACCAAAGATAAAATAAATGAAATAGATGACAAAACAATACAAAAATCGACAAAATAAAGAGTTGACTCTTCAAAAATATTTAAAACTTTTTAAAAAGACAAAAAATAAAAAAACAAAAGAAACAAAATTGGAAACCCTTAGCTAGACTAAGAAAAAAGAGAGAAGACTGACATGAACAAGACAAAAAAAAGAAGATATTACAGTTGATACCACAGAAATACAAAGGATCATAATAGGCTATGGTAAAGAAATATATGCCTCAAAATTGGGTAGACTAGAAAAAAATGAATAAATTCCTAAACATGTACAACCGACTAATGCTAAATCATGAAGAAATACAAAATCTGAGCATATCAATGAGTGAGAAGATTGAAACCATAATAAAAGTCTCCCATCTGCTGAATTAGACCACACATTATAAGAATTCATACCAGTTCTCCACAAACTTTTCCAAAAAGTAGAAGAGAAGGGAAGACTTTCAAAGTTTTTTTAACAAGGCTAGCATTACCTTGATACTAAAGCCAAAAAAAGACATCACAAGAAAAGAAAACTATAGGCCAATATTCTTGATAAACATAGATACAAAACTCCTCAACAAAATTATTAACAAACTCAGTTCAACACATTGAATCTGCTTTCATGGTACAATTGTCAATTCTTCCGTGTATGTAGGAACAAGGTGACATGTAAACATTGCATGAGCTGCTATGAACCCAGGTTTTATTGTTTTACCTCCTTTTCAAAATTATTCTACAGTATGCATCTGAAAGGTCTAAAGAAGAAAACAGATGGACAAAACTCTAATACCTAAGGAATATTTCAAGAAGGGACTATTTACTGAGTTGGGCAGAATTTAGAGGTTACAATGCATTGTGAAGCACCCTAAGGCAAGCAACGTGAGATACTATTTCCACCCTCAGATTGGAAATAGGGACAAAGGAAAGAGCGGGTGCTACAGAGAAAACAGTCATAACTGTAGCTGAAGCCGTAGGAGAGGATAATCAGATAGAAGAAGCCCTGTCATTGCCAATGCAAGGTCTAAGGGGAAAATATATGCCTTATTCATTAGAGAATAAGCTTTTTTTCACTTTAAAATAATGCTTCATTTCCAGTTTACAGTTAAACTGTAAGTAAACATATATTCTGTTCTTTGAAAATTACAGGTTACACAAGGTGTATAGTAGGATCCCACTTTTATTAAATAGTATGATAATTAGTACCTATTTGTGTACAAAGGAAAGAGCTAGCAAGGATAATCATCAGGCTTTCTTGAACAGAGAGAAATATTTAAAAATGTGGTGACTGCCTCAATTTACTCTACATTAATTCTGACAAATTAGAATGATTTTCCAAAATGCATGTGCTTCTTTCGTAAATCTTTTTTAAAAACTTGAAAATATAAATTAAGAAAGAATCCATGCAGGCAAAATTGCAAATTAACAGAATGTCATTTTACTTACAAATCACAAAAAAAAAAATCTGCAAGGGCAAGTGATGTCATTTTACTTACAAATCACAAAAAAAAAATCTGCAAGGGCAAGTGAAAGGTCTGTGAATCCTTAAAGATGTATTTTGGAAAGTATTTCTCTATGTTAATTGGTTAGATGGGTGTTTGAAAGTACTTGTATTTCTATTCCACTGAACAAATACCTAAGACCAAATAAAGAACTTGTTCAAAAGTTCTGTTACTAGAAAATGCAAGTGCATTTTTGAGAAAAGAATATTTGAGAAAGGAATTAAGCAGAAGGAATCGCTCTAAAACTAAAACTAAAAAAAAAAATCACTTAACACAGACAGAATGACCCTCCCTTCATAGGCTCCACCATAACCTGGAAACATGAAAACTTGCCCTTCACCCACAAGGCCACTGGACATGAGATTGAAACCCAGGCCTCTGGAACAAGTCAGAGAATTATTACTGGGAGCAAAATGTCAGGCCCCTGACTGTCCCATAAAGACAACATTAAACTCATAAGAAACTGTTCAGAATTTTAGTTTGACTGCTCCAACAGAGCCAATTATAATAATGACTTAAACAGAGAGTGAAAGGGCAGCCTTGAGCTGGAGACTCCAAGGCATCAGACATCAGAATTCCTTCTAAATTGCTGCTTCATTATCCCTAGAAAGTATCCTTAGCCTAGTTGTCCTGTACGGTTCCAAGCCACATCAGGATTTACCCTAAAGAAAGACGAAGGAGACTGGGTGCAGTGGCATAATCCTGTAATCCCAGCAACTTTGGAGGCAGAGGCAGGAGGATTGCAAATTCAAAGCCAGCCTTGGCAATAATGAGGTGCTGAGCAACTCAGTGAGACCCTGTCTCAAAATAAAATACAAAAACAGGACTGGGGATGTGGCTCAGTGGTTAAGTGCCCTTGAGTTCAATCCCCAGTACCAAAAGAAAGAAAGAAAGAGAAAGAGAGAGAGAACGAGGAAGGAAAGAAGGAAGACTAACTCCTTCTATTAATCCTGTGACCCAGGATTTGGTTACATCAGTTATATCACTTCTGCTCATCTCCCATTGGTTAGCACCTAGTCACAAGGCATTATCAACATTAAGAAAGACTGGGAAATGGGGTCCTTTTTTTGATTTAAACCTCTTAGAAATATTATATGACAGAAGGAGAGAATAGATATTGAAGAAAATTAGCAGTTTCTACAGCCGTTGACTATCTCTCAGATTCTCTGCTCACATGAAAATATTTTGAAAGCTTCTCAGAAATAATAAATGATATGAGAGAAGACAGTGGGAAAGACTTGGAAAGGGTTCCAGGAGTCTAGGAGCTGGTGTTGGAATGGTTCTTCTTACTGTAATCTCAGAAAATGCCTTTGTCTATTAAAGTCTCAGTTTCTTCCTGTGTTAAGTGAGGATAGTATAAAGGATGGTCTTCAAGGCACAAGGAGCTCATTGACTGGTGAACAAGTCCATCGTGACTCATTCCTTACTGAGCCTCTGATTTTATGAAGAAGACAAATATATCACGCCCTAAAGACAAATGTACCGGCTGCTAAGATCCCTGAGTGGAAATAACACAGGTTCTGGTTTTCCTCCCACAACTTTTTCTGGCCAATCAGGGATATGGAAGCTGTGTCTCCACAAAAGCACATGATGGATGTGATCCATTCAGTCCTGGATCCTTGGAAGATGGTGCATCCTCTTTCCACTTGGAAGCTTCTTGCCCCTATAAATCCTCTGGACTCTGAAGTCATGAGTACCTTTGTGAGGCAGGAAAGGGCTTCTGGATTCTCATATCTGTTTCTAACTGACTTCCACACACCTGTCTTTTTTCCCTGTTTAATTTGTTTCTCTTAGTCTGTTTCTGGGGTTTATATATGCTACACTGTTTTTTAATCCACAATTCTAGCTGTCATCTTGGATCACTTGGAAATTACTCTTCTGCTTTGCCTGCACCCATGTGTAATCAATACACAACGGTGGTGGATCCCAAGGACTGATTAAAAGGGTGGAACTTTAGGGTCCAAAAATCACAGTGTGAGAGGCCAGGGATTGTTTGTCCTGCAAATCTATCTTCTCCTTGGTGTTGATGAGAAATTCAGCTCAAACACGAACCCTACCCATACTTTCAGTTATTTGAACATATTTAGGTAATTCTTATAAACATTCTCAGAGCTGTCGACAAAAAGAATGATGATGAATGAAATTTCCTTCATCTTAATATAGATTTGTGTCCCTATATCTTTTAATGTATTTTCATTTAACCAAAGTCTTCAATACTATTAGACTCTGCATTTATTCATTGAATAAATAAGATACATAGCATGCTCCACATCAAGTAAGATGCTAGGAATACAAACAGTGGGTCCGTGCGACCATCTCTACTGATACTTTGAGCCATTTCTAGCTCATCAGGCTCAGCCATCCTCACACCTGTCCTAGCAAGAGCTCACATTCCCCATGGCCCTAAAACTTAAGATTTTCTTTCCTCTCCTTAGATGGAACACTCTTAGTCATTGGGTGTCATGATCACCTGTTTCTCTCTGAATTCCTGCACTAAGAAGAAAAAAAAAAAAAAAAAAACCTCTGGCCCAGAACAGTGGGATTCAGGACCTTAGATAAAG